AGCTTCACCTTGTAGAAGTATCCCACTGAGGATCACCAAAATCTCTTCCAATACCCGATTTTGTGCAATGAACGGTGCCACACACGTTGGGCTTAACCCATGTTTAAGATTTCAATTATTCCGACATGAAGAACCAACTGCTTTTCATTTCACACATGAGCACCCTGTTCGATACATGAGTCCACAACACAATTCAAAAGGAGTCACCAATACCACATGAATTCAACGGTCTTAACTCCACTAATTCACAAAATCAATCGACACAGCAGAGAGATAGATAGGAAAAATCTTATACTTCAACATCCTCCATAGTGCTACACTACCTCCCTAGGTTGCATATCACCATAAAGACTGTCAATTCAAAGCATACTGAGCAGTCAATTTGCAAGGAACACATACTCAGAGCCCTCAAATCGAAATTTGGACAGTGGACTAGGCTACAAGCACACAAACCGATCTAAGCAGTCAAATAGAAAAATCCCCCCCACACTTAAGTTCTACATTGCCCTCAATGGAGAAGAGGGAAATAAGGGGAACGATGTTACCAGTATGTGCGGACTGTAGTGAGACTGGAAGGTGGACCAGTCAGAGTGAAACGGACTGGAATGGGACCAGTCGGTGCAAAGGCATGGCTAAAGAAGACACAAGCACTCAAGCACATATACGTTAGGTCAATTGTCAGCCCCATAGTACATCATCCAAAAGAAAAGAAAACAAACCAAACAATAGTCAGTTTGCACTCCAAACCAAAACAAAAGAAACACAAAACGACCAGCGAGTACAGCCTACTCGAGCTGGCTGAAGTCGATCTGATCCATGAGGTCGTCATCCCCATCTGTCGGGGGTGGCGGGGGTGGTGAGTCCCACCGGGTAGTCTAGTGGTGCTCCTGTGGCGGGTGGCAGGACTGGAGCAGGTGCTCTTGATACTCCATCATCCGGCGGTTACGATCACGCTCCCGCTTGATGCGAGCACTAATGACTCCCTGCTGAGCCTCCATCCGGTCGAGGCGCTCGTCTAGAACCACCATCCGAGAGTGGTGCTCGGCCTGGTAGGCCGAATACTGCTGGTAAAACTGGACCTAATGGTCCATGAGCTGCTGGTTCTGGACCCCAAGCTGCTGAAACTGGAGCCCTATCTGATGGAACTGCTCCGTGAAGAAGTCCATCGACGGACCAGAAGTCATCAACGAACCAGAAGGACTAGAAGAGGACTCGCCTTGCTCGAGTCTCCGTCGTGGCTGAAGATCCCATGGGAGGAGATCGGGGGCTCCGGCTCGTCAGCATCCATGGCCTCGCCATCATCATCATCATCATTGGCCTCATCCTCGCCGGTGTAGTCCTCTTCCTCCTCGTCCTCATCATCATCATCATCAGCATCCTCCTCGGGAGGCAGAGATAATCCATCCACCCAGGAACGCCCACCATTAGAGGCCAGCAGGAGCGCTTTGTGAAGCACCTCCCGGCTGAGAGGGGTGGAGCCGCCCCGTGCTGTGGCATCAGTAAGTCCCGCCAAGCCGATCTCGAAATGGCGCGCCATCATTGTGATCAGGGGACCACAGAATAGGTGGTTGGGTTTCTCATGGCACCGAGAGAAGGTGGTGGCCACGAAATAACCCAAATGCAGCATGTGATCCGACTCCCCCATCGAGTACATGGCATAATGCACCCGCTTCGGTATCTTGTGGGAACCAGTGACGTTGGGGACGATCGAGCGGGTGATCAGGAGGTTGAGGATGTGCCACTGTGGTTTGAGGGTGGAGACGTATGTCCGGCCGGCATCGAAGTAGTCCATCCCGTAGGCACGACGAGCAATGCGGCGGTAGAACGCGTCATGGTTCCAGTCCTTCGGATGGGGGATCTCGATCTCATGGCGGGAGTAGGGGTGGTAGTTGATGCCCAGTGCATAGGCCAGCCCATCGATGCTCATCTCCCGCAGGTGTCCGCCCAGCCTCAAGGTGACACCGGTGGGGGAATCCCAGGCTGCTTTGGAGCGCTACCGGAATGTAGTGTAGAACTCCCACACCAGCTCCGTGTAGGTGGGCTCCTCGATGCACAGCAGAATCTGCCAGTCAGGGTGGCTAATGGCGGTGGATATCTCATTCAGGCAGTGAAGCTGCTCGAAAACCCCCCACTCCAAGTGGTGATGGCGCTGGAGCACTCTGCGTATGACCCGGCGGTACTAGTCAGCGTACTCCGGGTGCAGGCGCAGATCCTGCATGAACGGATGGTCGAGCGACATGATCCTGCAAAATCAACAAACCAAAGGTGGAGCCAAGAAAATACTCGTTAGGACCAAAAGTATGGGTTCAACAGTTCCCCCACACTGTAAGGACACCTATGGTAAGCAAGCACGCACAGACGGTCGATTTACAAGCAAAACAACCGTATTTCAAGCAGGAATCATGTAGAACTCGACGCATTCAAGCATAAGGACATCAAACATGCATTTTCCATTTCTAACCACGGCGTCCCTCACCCTAGTCTAATTCAAACATGCAGGCAAATCACAGTTCTCGGTCCTAACATCTACAGTCCGATTTTCCAGAAAAAATAACAGATTGAGCAAGCAACACACCTGGAAACACAAGTGGGACCATAGAGGGGACGCGAGTAGAGGGTGAGGGACGCGAAACCACGCCCAAAACGGGCCGAAAAAGCTCGCCGGAAAACCCGACGGAAAGTCGTCGGAAAACGGCGGGCGGCGGCTTATGATGGCCCTGGAAATGGGTGCCTCGGTCGCTTATGATGGCCCTAGGTGTCCCGAACTGGGAAAATAGCTGCTTCAAAAATCTACAAACACATCTAGTATCATTAGTGGGCAAAAATCCACAAAAATCCCTAGGAAAATTGGTTTTTGCTTTCTTTCTGTAGATCTGTCTATTATTGAGTTCTACTTTAAGTTGGGCGTGTATGATGAATTGATGTTTGTCTATTATGTGCTGAAAAGTAATCGGAAAGCTTGGCAGAAACTTAAAGTAGCATAGTGACCAATGAAATGGGATGAAACAAAATAATGCTTAATTGAAATGATCTTAACTCAAATTAGTGATGGCAATGGGTCGGGGCGGGGCGGGTACCTCAATACCCATGCCTCGCACCACGCTAGTACGGGTTAAGGCGGGTAATACCCGGGCAGGAACGGGACGGGCGGGTCGATCCACTCTTACATGCTATTTGTGAAAAATACACGCACAATTTTACTTTTTATTATAAAACGAAGGGGAAAATACTTGATGAATGAATAATAGTGATAATATTAGTGATGGCAATGGGTCAGGGCGGGGGGGGGGGGGGGGTACCTCAATACCCATGCCCCGCCCCACGCTAGTACGGGTCGAGGCGGGTAATACCCGCGCGGGAACGGGGCGGGGCGGGTCGACCCACTCTTACATGTTATTTGAGAAAAATACACGCACAATTTTACTTTTTATGATAAAACGAAGGGGAAAATACTTGATGAATGAATAATAGTGATAATATAATAAGTAATTGAGTTTATTTAGTTGAAAGATCAAATCTAAATAGTTGAATAAAAGTCAAAATAGGAGATATATGAATGGATGGGGTAAAAAATTGACATAGAACGGGGTAAGAATGGGGCGGGGCGGGGCAGGGCGGGTCGAAAGTTGATACTCATGCCCCGCCTCATGCTAATGCGGGTCGGGTAATACCCGCCCCATCGCGGGTCGGGTCGGGTATTACCTGGCAGGGCGGGTTCAAATTGTCATCCCTAGATAATATAGTAAGTAATTGAGTATATTTAGTTGAAAGATCAAATCTAAATAGTTGATTAAAAGTCAAAATAGGAGATATATGAATGGATGGGGTAAAAAATTGACATAGAACGGAGTAAGAATGGGGTGGGACAGGGAGGGTCGGAAGTTAATACCAATGCCCCGCCCCACGCTAATGCGGGTTGTGTAATACCCGCCCCATTGCGGGCCAGGTCGGGTATTACCCGGCGGGACGGGTTCAAATTGCCATCCGTAACTCAAATATAGAAGTGCTTAACCAAGATTCATGGTAGTAATATAAATGGTTGTAGATAGAGATTCTACTAAATAGAAACAAAAAGTGGATTTGACAAAATATTCTTGAGAAGTGCTATATCATTCAATAATAGAGAAGTTTTGGGTTTACAAGCACCAACCTGATAGCTGACTTTGACTTTGAATCCTCGTTCTTCAACTATTACAACCTTGGAGTGGAAATTTTCTCAAAACGAATAAAGGAAAATTATTTCACTATAAGTACCACTAATTCACAGCCTTTCCTCTCTCCAGATTCCCCCAAACGAGGAGCCCAAAGAGCTCATTTATAGCAAAATGAACGCGCCATGTGTCACTTGATCATTGGTTGTTGTTGAGGCTAAAACTGTCGTGCTTCCTTCTGATTGGCCAATTTTTGAGGCAACATTTGGGAGCTCCACCTTGTCTGGTCGATTCTGGCTGGTCAGGCTGAGTGTGGATAGGGTTGGCACACAATTTAGTGCTGGGTGGGCCGAGCTGTGGATAAGGTTGGGCCGACTCGGGCTTGTGGGCCGATCTGGAAATCGCCTGGGTTCGAAACGGGCCAAGTTAAGTTGGATGTTTGTTGTGCCGAATTGGACTTCCCATTTGGGCTTTAGCTGAGCCTGAACTAACCGATCTGCTTTTATTTTGCAGGTTGAGCTAATCTCGTTTGGGCCCAGAGGCAGGAGAAAAAGTGGTCTTAATTAAAGGCCTCAACTAAAAGAGCCTACTCTGATTTGTTGTAATGAGTTTCTCTTTTTTTTATCGGATTGTAATGAGTTTGAAATCTTCCTTTATTTAGTGTAATTATCCTTGTGTCGTACATCGAAATAACTCTAATAATAAAACTTTCTTTTTTTCCTTTTTTATGCCTCTATTCTCTTGTCTCATTTCACCTATCAGACCTTGACCTCACACCTTAATGCAAACATTCAAACTTCTAACCATTATTATTTCTTCCATCCAGTTGTCCATTTAGTATTTAAAATTTGTCACTGCAAATCTTTACTAAATCGATATGTCTTAACTAAATCAATCTTAGCATAAGCTAAGCTGGTAGTTATTGAGTGTTCGTCGATTTGCCACTACTAGTCACAACTCATATGATACTAGAAAGGGAATTTGATATTTATTGGTACTCAATGACCCGTCATTGCTATTCTCAATCAATTTACTTCTAATTTCCTTTTTAATTTGTCGTTATATGTTTACTTTAGGGTTTTGAGTAGAATGCTTGTTCGGACAAAATGTGGTGTCTACAACAAGTTCTGGGACATTCAGAGATCAAAATTAGCCAAAAAGTGAAGGAGTTGGTTCACGGGTCAGAGCAAAAGTTCACAGCCTGGAGGCTGTGAAAATGCCCCAAAACCGTGAACAAAACAAGTTTCTAGCAGGGTTAGTGCATCTCGCGGGCTATGCACACTTAACTGTATGAGGGAGTGAAAATAACACCAAAACCGTGAAGTATGCACAAAATGGTGTGTTTTCAACTAAGATCATTGCTTGCACACTTCATGGTCATGAAACACTATACTAGGGTGTGATCCTTATACTACTACGAGTATAAATTGACAACGCATTGTTGAGAGGGGGAGTTGGGTTTTTCTACCCTAAAACACTCAAGGGGCGAATATAGAAAGAGTAAACTAGGAGGATTCTTGTAGCCATTTTGGAGGTGCAAATCACCATTGGAGATTGAAAATCATCCCCTAAAAGATGAAGATCAAAGATTCTAAGCCTTATATTGTATCTCTCTCTTATTCTCTACGAGTTAGCTTTCCTTCACTTAGGGTGATGAACCCTAGGTCGAGATGGTGGTTTGATTGTTGATGTATGTGACAAACCTTATGATTGTGATGTTCTATTATCTATTGAATTGAGTATTTCATGAAATTAATATATCTTTATCTCATCCCTTAATTTGGGACCTAGGAGGGATAATATCCCTCTATGTTGAATTGAGCACTACCAATTCATCACGATGGGTCTTTAAATGAGTGTGATAGGATTTGTAGTACCGTATTGGGTTTTGCCCAATCGTGGGAGTTGGTTGTGAACATCTCAATCTCCTATGCCAGTCGTATGGTATGCCTCGTCAGATAGAGAAATGAGTGTGGTTGAATAGGGGTGGGAAACGATGCTATTGCGGTTAACTGCACCGCAATTTGCAGTTAACCACAACCACAAAGTACCCATATTAAACCACAACCGCACCTGGTACTGTTAGCGGTTAACCGCTAACCGCAAAACACGGTTAACAGTGCACCGCGGTTATTGGAGTTAACAACTGATTTAACTGTGCGATGGCCGACAAGCAGAGCCGATGTGTAGAGCGACGAGCAGAGACTGCAACCTAACTTTGATGTCGATGAATAGAGCAGAGCAGGTCAACTTGTCGAGACTCGAGGGAAGATGAGAAGAACAGAAGCAGATGCGAATGTCGCGCCATCTGAGGAAGTCTATACTCGAGCCTGCGGGGGCGACAGCCGACAGCGACAAGGAACGGCAACAGGAGGATTTCATGGTCATCGGTCGACGTCTCAACTCTCAAGACTCTCGACGGTGGGCAATTAGGGTAGTTGGGTTAGGGATTTCAGTCTTTCAGACCTGGAAAGTAGGAAATGGGAATTACGAATCGCAAAGGCAAAATGGGGAAGTGGGGGAAGGGGCCGGGTCGGGTTGGGTTGGGGTAGGGTGGGGTGGGGTTTGTTTTATGGGTTGGACTGGAAATGGATTGGGCTGGATTTTTCCTTTTACCATTGCGGTTAGAGCTATTCACAGTTTCGGTTGCGGTTAAAAGCAAAACAGCGCATATCTACAGCTGCGACCGCAAAAGAGGCTATTTTTGCGGTTTAACTGTGTGGTTTAGGTACGGTTAGCGGTTTAACCACAAAACTGCAACCAATTTCCCGACCCTAGGTGGAATGCCTCGAATAGGGGGGATAATCTAGTCTAGAATTCTATATGGTAGAAGTATCAAGTCAATCAATCTAGGGTAGTAATCAACATTGGTCCAATTGAGGATTAACTCGCTACGACACAACTCCTAACAATGGCCAAGTGTAACCAATGAAAGGGACTGCAGTATAGTGGTACCAGTAATAAATATCGAATCCACGGGTCTCTGGAGTTACTATTACTTAGCTTCAGTTCATTATTTAGCAAACCAGATAAAGATAGAAGAACTATAACTACTCTAGCAAACTATGGTTAAAGTTAATCTAATTCCAGATTGGGAACTCACTGAGGTATGATTTCCCCTAGCCACTAGCCAGATAAAATGATTGGTGATCTCTAACTTGTTTCACTTTCATTCACAATGCGGAGAATCCCTTACTATACCTTGAATCTCGACTAAATAAGTCAAGGTCCTCTTGAATAAATTGCCTAGAGGGAGGTATCCTTCTCTAGAACAATTGATCAAGGCGTTCTGAACTAGATTCCCTCTATTAAATGAGGTTCTCAATCAATACAAAGCAGTGAATTGACCATTGACTAAAGCAATCGATCCAGTACTATCAATCTATGGTGTTCTATTGACCTAATCAGGTATCCTCTCTCATAGCCATAGGATCAAAGCAGAATCAATAATCTCGACTAAAGCAGAAATGAATCATGAAAACATTCATAAATTGAATATGAACTCAAGATTATCAAGTAGGATTACTCATACAATCATCCAATCAAACAAACATGGCTAGGGTTCCTCAAAACCTAAGTGAAGGGAAGTTACTCCATACATAAGAGAGAGAGTGCAGAATATGATCTATATCTTCAATCTCCATCTCCAAGCTTGATTCTCGAGATTCAATGGTGAAGAAATCCTCCAAAATAGCTCCAAGAATGATCCCCGGGTTCTTCCCTTGGGTGTTTGGGATCCAAAACCCATCTCTCGTCCTTCAAATCCACAATAAACACATTTATATAACTCCCAGAGGCAAAGTTACGGTCAAAGTTCCCATAACTTTGAAGGTAGCATGTAACTTTGCAATGCGTTCTGCTTCCCAGGGTCAAAGCTATGACCAAAATGGCAAACTTACGGTCTAACTTTGAAGGTCAGCCCATAACTTTGGAGAGGCTGTTGTCTTTCAGTAATTTCTCTCTCATTCGAACTCCGAATTAGTTGTCGTTTGATCCCACACGCTCGTAGTCTCATCCTATTTATATCCTAGCATAGATTACATGATTATTTTTCCATTAAAGAGGTATAAATCCATTCTTCTATGGTTCATGCCCGAGTTTCTTCCCCCGAGTGGCCAATTGATCTCCGATTGACTTGAAACTTGCGGCTATGCTTCACTTTACATGATAGGACATGAAATGTGACAAAGGAACACAACCTAGCATAAAATAGGCTAAAGTATGATAAACACCATGCTAAACAATCAAGAAATGAAGGGTATAAACATGTGCAAATTTAGTGTTATCAAGGATCTAGGGGATTTCATCCATAAGTGAGCTCCCAACCTTGTAAATCGCTAGAGTAGTTGGTCAGATTAGTATAGTTAGGTTAGTTTCTTAATCATTATTCTTGTTTGGCTAGATAGCATTATGGAAGTTAAAGTAACGATACATCTACAGATATGTATTATCATTACTTTTCTTACCAATGGTACACTTGGTCCTTGGTTATGCTTGGCCCACGATTGGGACTGTGTAGTTAGGTCAGGGTTAGTGGCAATGAAATGTGTATGGTAAAGGTAATTCAAAAGGATATTTGACGGGTACTGGAAGGCGATAAGACACACAATGTCGAAAGGGATGTGGTCAAGGTTGGTTCGAAGGGAGGATAGGTTGAAAAATGGAACCACAACCATATCCTTAAGTTGAGGTTCAGTCGACATAAATAGCGCCTCCATTGCCGATCCTGTCATTATTTAGGGTGGCTGGTTGGTTCTGACTTGAGATTTTGTTTTTTTTTTTTTCCTAAGGCTACTTAAGCACTCATTTCATTGAAAAGCTCAAGAAATCTATAGATAACAAGGGCTTAAGTTACCTTGAAGGTGTATAGACAACATGTGATGCCATCATTTCTTCCTTCCAGGAATCTTGAACCATGAGGTGTATGCCATAGCCTAGGTTCGACCAACTTTGTTCATCATAGGCCAAATCTCGACCTACACCTATGAATTAAAAGCAAATCCAGGCTATCTCCTTATAGTACTTTTTAATGTCTTTAAGTTAGACAAACCATGGGTTTCCTCCCATATAGTGCCCTCTTTTTAATGCCTTAGAACTAGGCAAGGCCGGTCACATTTTACTCAAATGACCAATGAGGATCTCTTGGGCCATTCTCCTCCCCCATTGTGTTACGAAGGTAATTCAAGGAAAATGCTAGGATAGGCTTGTTGAAAAACTATGGGTGACTCGTAGACACACATGTTGAAGATGCGCACCATTTTCTTGATTTCTCTTTTGTTGTCAAGAGATGGCGAGTTCCCTTCATCCAATTCTCCTCATTTTCTATGTGGATTGAAAGGGTCACGTTGACGCTTCCCGATAATTGCACATAGGAGAGACCGAGAAATTGCAATCCATTAATTTGATGATTCATGTTGTTTTCTTTAGTAAAAGAAAATTTCAAGTGTGGAGTATTTTGTGATAACGCTCAAATTATAGTGTTTATCGCATACTGTAATTCATACGTTTCCCCTTATATCGCATACTGTAATTCATACGTTTATCGCATACTGTATTTTGCGATAACAATCAATGTACTTATAATAGAGCTAGGTTGTATTTTAGTATCATTTAAAGCCTTTTGGTATAGTTTTGTGCTTTTCAATGTCAAACACAATCAAGAATGAGTTGGATCAATCATTGGATCAAATATGAGGATCAATGGGTTAATTATCAGAAGATTAAGAAGTAATTCATCCATTAAACTAAGCCCAAATGAAGGATTGGAGGAAGCCTTCATATGAGCCCAAGAGAAAAGAATCCACGAAAGGTTCAAGCGTCGTAGGGTCGCCGCCAGACCTAACCCCACAAGTTGCTCTCAAAATTGAAGAGTTTCCTTGTGGGCCAAGAAAACTCACCAGAAGAAGAAAATCAATGGCGGTGGGCGCCACCATAAGCCCAAGCCAAATGGAAGCTTCCTGGAATATTCTTTCTTCATCCCCAAGTTAGAGAATCCAAGTCCCAGTCATACAATGTAGCTTTTTGACGAGTTTTAGGAGGAGAAAGCTTAAAATATCCTTTCCTTATGTGCTATAAATAGAGGGTTGGGCAATAGGATTTCATGGACTCTAAATATTACACAAATTTACTCCGCAAAAACTCGTGCAAGGAGCCATGCAGCTCTATAAGAGATCGAAGTAGCATCCATAGGGGAGGTGTAGTTAATGAGATGCCTTCATCATCAATGGTGGTACAATCCTTCTTTCTTATGTATTTCTAATTCAAATTCATTGCTAAGGATGCATGTTTTGTTGATGCTTTATTCATCTTCTTTCTATGATTTAATAAGATGTTTTTATCATTAGATGCTTATATCATTTGATACTTTAGTTATTTGATGTCTTAATCATTTGATTCATATATCATCTATTATGTGCTACTGTGGTGTTGTTTATAATATCATGATAAGTTTTTAGAAAACTACTCATTTGTGATGTGTTATTGTTTTGTGCATTTATGGAGTAGAGTGATCTACCATCCATGCTTTTATGAGCTCAATGCTTTTTACCCTATATCATCAATGTTATAGACCATTGATATGGTTAATAGAGGCTCTAAATAGTAAATGTGTTATCTTTACTTCCTTGTTTGATTGATTAGTTAATGGCATGAAGAGGAAGCACGCATTAGGTACTTGTAGTTCCTTTTGCATGTGGGGAAACCTCGATTAGGAATGCTTTAGTGGAAGGGATAAATTATCCTATTAAAAGATGCATCAATGCGTGTTATTACTGAGATTGAGATGTATGATCATCTAGAATGAACTTTCTTAACAATTGTCCTTTACTTATTTAATCATGTACTTTATTTCTTTGTCTATCTATGCTTATCTCGAAAATCAACATAACATATGAAACCTCAACCAATCAACTTTTTTTATTGTTATGTCTTTATTTGAGCATAAATTATTAGTTATAAGTAGTTGTTATTAGAAGACCTTGCGGAATATGATCCTAGACATACCTAGGAATTTTATTACTTTGATGCATCTCTACATGTCCATCAAAGGCAGATGTAGAAAGCGTGAACTCTTGGGCTCAGGCTGTTGTGCATGAGCTAGAGGGAGAAGGTCGACCAAAGATGACACACAAAGAAGATTATGAATAGGCCAACCGGGTAAGCCCAATGAAGGAAAGAGAGAAAGTGAAGATCAAGATAGAGGGTGAGGAAAACAAGGTCTCGGGGTGGGGTTCCACGCTAGTTAAGTACGTGATTACCGTAATACCTTATATTCTGTGTGCATGCTTTAGTTATCAACTTCCCAAAGTTTGATGGTCAGAAAGATGAAACAAGGTTATTTTTGCATAAGGATACTAGAGAGGAAATGAATGCACATCTAACATCTTTTTATCTACAAGTAGTGTCCCAATGGTGGGAATGGCTAGAACACTCCTTTATAGAAGTGGAGCTATTGATTACCTGGCCATGGTTGAAGGAAACAATTGTAGCTCAATTTGGAAAAGCATAAAGGCAGGTTACTAAACAACTAGTGAAGCTCAAACAATCATATATGGTTGGTGAACTTAAGTGGCCCGAGAATGTGTGTAGGGGAATTTTGGAGGTTGGTATATATTTTGGATGAATTGAGATCAAAATTAGGCAACAATGTACTTATCTAAAGCTGGTGCTACGTGTTGGGACCTTCAATGATAAAGCAGAAGAGTTAGTGGTGGATGTAGTAAAGGTTAACCAGACTGGAACAATCCAATATTGAGGATAAGGTTGCTTTCGAAACAATGAAAATTGTTTTATTATAATGGTGATGAATGCATTGAAATAAAACCGATAGTGAAAATAGTACAAAGATTAAAACCCAAAAATGATCCTCACAAGAAGTGAAAGTCTTTGGAAGTGAAATGTGAAAGAATAAAAAAAAAAGAGCGACAGGGGCACAAGATGGAAAAAAAAGGAAAATAATGGCTACAGCAACAAAAGGACAACCCAACGACAAAAATCTCCAAGAACATTGCCCAGAAAGCACAAGGGAGCAAAGCCCGAGCAGAACAACAAAAAGTTGTATCTAGTTGCAGCTGCCACCAAACGACCAGAACCACCCACCATGACAAGAGCTACATAGACAACAACAAGCAAACCATAGAAACCAACAATGGCTACAGTGAAATCAGAGTGATCTCAACTACGAAGTTACCTCGAACTTTATCCACCTTCCCATGAGCCACAAGCCAATCAATCACTGCTCTGAAGACCTTCTGCTTGATATCTGCAGTAGTGAGGCAATAATCTCCGAAAATTCTATGATTTCATTCCAACCAAACATTCCAACAAATTGTGTATATCACATAGTATATAATCAAATCTTCAAAGCTATCAGGTTGTCAGTCTTCCATTTAGGGATAGTTGCGATTGTATAACTAGATGATTCGGGTCCAAATGTACACACTTTACCCCTCATTTATTATCTATTATGCTTAGTATATCACCGTCCCTCTACCTATTTTATGCTAGGTTGTGCTTGTTTTGTTACCTTTCAGGTCCTAGCATGTGTGGGAAGGTCCGGGACGAGTTTCGGGTCATTCGGTGGTCAAAACGAGCCAAAAAGTGGAGGTTGAGCCTTGTTCACGGGCTGGAGCTTCAGTCACGGTCTTATAGACCATGAACTGAAAGCCCATACCGTGAAGTGACCAATTTCCAGAATGGTTTTGGAAGTTACTAGCATCAAGTCAGTTCACCGTCTCTAAGACCGTGAACTGAAAGCCCAGAACGTGAATTCGTCAGTTCATTGTCTAAGACCGTGAAATGATCAATGCGGCCTTGAACTGAAGCCTAAGACCGTGAACGGACCCCGATCTGGGTATAAAAAGGGCTTTGAGCTGAAGGAAAAAGGGGGGCTAGTTTTTGGAGAGGGATTCGATTCTATCTCTAGGGTTTCAACCCAAAACACCAAAGGGGAGTTCTAGTGAGAGATAGAGAGAGTGCTTGAGTGATCTT